CCAGTGAGCAGCGGATGCTGTCTGGCCTTCCATTCGCAATCGCGCCCCCACAGCCATCGCATTAGGAGTCGATCATTCCCCCATCCCAGTAACAGTCCCTATATAGCAGGAGTAGCAATGGTGGTATATGGACGACAACACAACTCTATTTTGAGCGTTGCGGTTGCTAGGGCGTCGGAAGCAAAGGAACTCGGGCTCAGAAGTAAGCACTTGGGCGCTGGTCTTCGGCTTTAGAGCAAGGTTCAGAGGTGTGGATGCATGCATAAAGCATCTATGAAGGTGTGGAAACGGTGCAGGATGGGCTTAGGGCGCGCTGCCCTCGTGTGCATGTTTGGGCTGTGCTGCTGCGCAGCTGTGACTGGCAATGGCTGCTGCCGGCAAGGCCGTCTCAGCAGCCATCCAAAGTCAGGTTAGCTCGTCCATGTGCGCATCGCCCTGAATTGGGTTGATTCTTGGTTAGAACTCGCTGAGCCCGATAGGATGCTTAATCCTTACTGAAAGCACTATTTATAAGTGTAACCCTGAACCCTGTGAACCCTGCTAAGCCCCCAAAGCCCCTGAAACCCCCCAGGCCCTGAAACCCTAGCAAGCTTGACGCCAAGCACTAGTCAGCCTCAAAGTTCCCGAGCCCCAGCTTGCCTCAACACTGCGCTACACCACTTGCAAAACGGGGATGGTCCCTCCCGTGAAAGTCCCCAATAAGGGTGCAGAGGGTTTGGGGTGACACGGTTCTTAGCCGGGGGGTGGCGCTAAGTGTGTCCCTACACTCGGCCCAGTGTGTTTCTAGCCAAAAAGGGGAAACAAGCTGAGGCTAGAGTTTACATTTTCAGGGTCTAAGGTTCATCGCGGCATGGAAGAGCTTTTGGACACCCAGCACCGCGCCGCCCATGGCGGCTCCAAGCCCAAAGAGCAATGCTCTCTGGGGCTGGCTTTGGGCCCGGAAAAAAACTCGAATTTCATGAGCGCCAAAGCCGAAACCTTAAGCCTTAAGCCCCATGAAACCTTAAACTACAAGCCCTAACCCCTAAATCCTACTCTCCCCCCCCCCTCCTTCGCCCCAAACCCTAAACCCTAAACCTTGAATCCTGAACCAGCGGGGGGTGGGGGCTGCAGTCCGCGCGCGGAGCGGCATGCAAAAGAGACCTAGGGGGATTTCACAAAATAGGGACAAAATAGGGGTACCCTTTTGGGGGCCAGTCTTTTGGGGTATACTTAGGGTACCCAACAGGGGTACCCTAACCACAAGGCTCCGTGTTTCCCCCCGGAGGGGCCCATGACTTACAGAACTGACCTGCTTGGCATTTTTTTGGGGCCACCTCGCTACATACGGTACGGCTGGAATGTTTTCCGAATGGGGCTTCGGCCTGAAATCTGTGGGAGTAGATTTTAGGCCTAAACAGCAAGACTCTTCTAACGTGCGACCGAGATCCACCTTACCGGGCACTTGACCTTCATGAGTGCATGTGTCGTTGAAGTTGGTCATGTTAGTTTCCATGCCAAAAACAGGTATTGGTATTCATTCTGTTTTCTGCTTGTTTGGAGAGGTGGCTTTGTGGCCAAGACCACGAAGCCCTTAAAGCTAACAGGTCAATAAACACACCTCTTGAAATCTAGTAGACTAGTTCAACAAACCCAGGCCCCGCAGCACGCCGCACTCGATTTAAAACAACCCCTCCCAACACGATTCTTCGACAGACCTTCGGCGACATCGCGCGCGATCTGCGCCTTGCCTCGAACAAATTTGTGGCTTCCTTGGGTTTAGGGCCTACAAACCCTTTTTTCGGGTGCTGTATACCACATAACAAACTACCCGCAAGCCTCCGCGCAGGGTAGCTCCAACACATCTCAAAGTCTTAGCAGGTCGAAATTCGGTCGAAAGTCCGGAACTTGCTGGTGTATTCTCTACCGAATGCGCTTGTTTGGAGGGGTATCTGGTGTAGTTTAAGTGAGGCGCCTAGACTGAGCATGAGGCTGAGGGGACCATCTTACTCTTGTTGGGCCCCTGTATCATCGCTTGTGCAAGAAAATCCCAAAGCAGTCATTCAAAGCAGTCTTTTCGACAAGCGCAGGCCGCACGCCCCAGCCCTAACCGCCCAAGCCTCAAAGCCTAGCAAGCCCTAAAGCCCTAAAGCCCAAGCCCGAAGCTTCATGCCTTGGAGGACTCCGGGATTTTTGAGAGCTCGGGATGTCTGTGACCACCTCACTCCGAACATCTCCGAACCCTAAAGCTCTCTGAGCCGCTCCTCCCCTGGCCCACACTGCGCCAGCTGCCTAAGGCGGGCACCGTGTGCCAGGCAGACCAGTCGATGCCCCTGCCATTGTCGAGGTTGGGAACCTCAGACTCTTGGGATTGGTTTTAAAGCAGAGTGTGGGGCTTAAGTCTTGCAGGCTTTTTGTTTTGCTATCGGCTCAGGGTGACCCTGAAAGCTCTCAGTATGCGATCCACCCGTTTTGGGTATTCTACTCCCTTTCAACCCTAAACCTTGAACCCTAGAACCCTTAACGCCTAAAGGCCACCCTTTGTGCCCCTTGCAAGAAGCCTCAGCCAGCAAGCTAGCAACCCAAAGCTCGAAGTACCGAAGGGCAAGAAGAAAAGCAGGACTCAGGGTTCCGGGTTTAGGGTTGGCTTTATAAGGGAAACCCAGAAGACCCAACATCCTCTTAACCCGAAGTCCCGCAACCTCCCTGCAGCCCCCTCAACCCTAAGCCCTGCCCCTTCTCCCCTCGTCAGGAGGGGCTCTCGCACGAAGCCTCGTGATGCAGCTGCGAAGGCTGTTCTTACCTTTTTGGGGTATCATGCTTACAAGGAGTTTGTGATGTTGTCACAGCTCCCTTCTCGTGAAGCGAAAACCCAAAATGCTGACGTGCAAGAATGCCACAGCAGACCCTTCTCTCCTTGTAAGGATACCCTGATGTGGAACAATGTTACCATCCCCCCCCCCCCCCCCCCCCTCCTTCCTTAGACTTTGTGGGGGGGTTTTGGGATTTGGGGTTTCGGGCCGAGGGTTTTGCTAGGCAGGGGTTGGGGCGTCGAGGGTTGGGGTGAAAAGGTTGAGGGCTTTTCGTGTTTCGGGCCTAGTATACAGGGTTCGGGGTTCGTGCCAGTTTGCGAGTTTGGGACAGCAGCTTTGCACTAGATTGCTTGGCGAAAATGTGCCTCCTGTGCAAGACCCAATTTCCCCAAAGATCCTTCTTCAGCTTCCCCACCAAGCTAGTAGGAGTAGTCGCAGTCGTAGTGGTGGCAGTAGTGCTCGTCCGCCGCTCGGCCGAGTACCACAGTGGAGCACCCCCAAACTTGCTACTCTGGCCTTGGGCCCCAAACCTCTCCGCCACAAGGCCCTAAATCACCAGCTCAGATGTGCTTATCGGTAGGGCCAAGAAGTAAGAAAACCTATGCGATAAATTCTACCCATGAACCCTGAATTCTGGAGGGCCTGCCGGACGTGGATCTCCACGACGACCTGCACTGTCCAGGCCAGGGAACCGAGAGGGCTTCAGTTAGTTTGTGAGGATTTCACCTTCTTGCTCTTCTGTCAAATGTTTCTGGTTTAACGTTTCCCGCTCATTTCCCTTTTTAACTGCAGAACCGGCCGTTAAACAAGTAAGACAATGGGTTCCCGTTCTTGTCCTTTGCCGGAGAGCCTAGAATTCAGGGTTTAGGGGTCCGAGGTTGTCCGGTGTGAGATCAACAAAATCACATGGTCAGTTCTCCAAATGGCGGTCCCTTCATTCTGGAGAGGGCTTTCTAGGAGTAACCCCGGCAAGGGCCCTTATTAACTGGAGAACTGACCCCACGTTTGGGGGGGGGGGGCACCTTATGCAATTCTCGGATACCTGCGCAGGCCGGTGTGGCCCGCACTTGTGACCAAAATTGCTATTAGTGATTTTACCACCTTTCTTTCTCGTGATATGGTTGGTTTTCATCACGGTGAGCCCTCTACGACCGGCCACCAGGCACCAGGAACGCCTTCTCGGCTCCTCACGGATCCAGGAGCCGCCCCCCGAAAAGACGTGTGTTGAAAGGGGCTCAAAGAATCGAAGCGCAGCAGGGGGCCCCTCTATAGAGGGGTATTTATAAAAGAGTAGGAGCATCAAGTTTCTAGGGCCCTGAGATAATGATCTCCCTGGTGGGAGATGGACAGGATTGAGGCCTTGTAGGAAGAGGTGTAGCCTGGGAATTCGAGGGCTTGGGCGTTGTTTTCCCTGCGCTGCTCAGGGGCTTTTAAGTCGAGAGTCGGTTCAGTTTTTATTGGGGGCCCCAATTCCTCCAACCTGATGAATGGCTTGAGCCCCGTTTGGGATTGGAGGGTCTTTCCCTTCATCCTAAATCCAAAGCCCTGGACCCTAGCTCAGCGCGTTTTCGGGATTATAGGGAGCTAGGGTGAATTACTCCTTCATGCCATTCTTACTAACTTAGAGGGTGGAGTTGAGCGGTTCCCGGTTGCCGGTTGCAAGAAGTTGGCATTCAATACAAAGGTCTAATTTCGAAAGCCACCACATGTCCCAAGTTTAAGAAGTTCTGGGCCCGGATCCGAATTCTACACTGGGGGAGCAGCGGGGGGGGCGGGGAGGGACAAGGCGGGTTTCCCCAACCTTAGGGTTTCGGGCCTGGGGCCGACACCCCTGCACCCTAGAATTTCAAGAAGGTGGAGGGTTTAGGGTTTAGGGCCTAGGGCCTTCAAATCCCAAAGTCCAAGCCAGGATACCAGCGGCCCAGGTGGCGACCCTGGCCGCGTGTTTGGGGACCCCCAGATCCCAAGAATTTGCATTAAGATGCAGAATGGTTTGGGGTTTGAGGTTCTTGGTTTGGGACCCAGGCCTTGTGCCTTGTGCCCTGAGTTTTTTTGGGGTTTGGGGATCAGGGCGTGGACTTGAGACTGAGGATGTGAGCCTCGATTGTATACATGGGGCAGCCTGCGCAGTGTGCTTTGAGTTAAGGCTGATTGACGTTGCTTCCGAGTCCTCATGGCTCAAAGACAGCCACGTGCAGCACAGCTCTCATGGGCAGCGGCGGAAGTGTCGAGGTCGAGGCTCCACCAGTTCCACCAGTAAGTAAGATGCAGAAGCTGCCAGCAAACCGCAAAGCAGAGAAGGATGAGAAGGATGATAAGGCTGAAGCCAAACAATTGCCGGAGAGGCGCTCGGATCTAGTGGTCGGGGCAACAGCGGCGATGCAGAAGCCACCGTCAAACTACAAGCGGTTGCAGGAGGGACGCTCAGATCCGGCGACACCGAAGATTCAGAAGCCGGAAGCACGCCAAGAGGGAGCAAAGGCCGATATCAGGCGATTGATCGACAGGCGCTCATCTCCACCGGTGGCGACGGCCCAAACCAGCTTGAAAGCTGAGACCGAGCGATTCGAGATCAAACGGCTGGCCGAGAGACGCTCAAATCCCTGGGAGGTGATACCACAGAAGCTGCAGAAGCCGCAGGCATCCCGGAATGTGGAGACGACCGACAACAATGAGCGACTGCCACAGAGATGGTGCGTTCCGCCACTTGAGACGATAGCAAGGATGCAGAAGCCACAAACAGTCAGCGAGGGCGAGAAGGCCAGTATCAGGCAATTTCTGGAGAGAGGCTCATCCCAGCACCAGCAGCCGAACACCGTCCCGACCCAGAATATGCAGAAGCCGACGCAAGCAAGCTTCCGGGGAGATAACTACGAGATCAGGCCGTTGCCGGAAAGATGGTCAGATGCACCAGGAGATGCGATGCCGGACATGCCGCTGTCGCAGGCAACCTTCAGGAGAGAGAGGGTGAGGCGTTTGCCGGAGAGATTGTCAGACGCAAGGGTGGACACGATGCCGATGCCGGACATGCCGGACGTGCCGATGCTGCAAGCCACCTTCAGGGGAGAGAGGGCTGAGATAAGGCAACTGCGGGAAGAACGCCTGTGGGAAGAGCGTCCTCTGAACGTGAAGCGAAGCCGCAACCTGAGTTGTTCAACATGCGATCAGTGCCAGTGCCAGAAGAACCTGTTGTATCAGTTTCTAGACGTGCGTTTGTCCATCGGAACCAATCCAAGACGTCACCTTGATGGCGTGTATTTCATAGCACGAGGATCATTGGATACACTTGGGCATGTCAAGACGCAAATGCCAGAGGAGAACCGCTAGCTAAAGAGTTTTTATGATGGCCTCCTAGGCTGTTTTGCAAGTGGCGACGAGTCACGCAGGTGCCTAGGAGGGAGCCGAAATTAAGACAAGCCCTGGGACCTACGGCCTAAACCCCTGTGAATGGTACACCCTGCCCTGAGCCTGGAAGCCCGTCAGCTCTGATCCGAGAAGCTCAGCTTAGGCTTCAACTTGCGTGCTGTGCGCTGCAACTGCGGTTGTTAACGAACTCAGTGGAGATGGGCCTTCCCGACGAGGATGGATGCGATGGTATGCTTTAGGGCTCATGGGTTTTGGGGGCTAAAGGTTGGAGGAGACAGTAGGTGAGCGTGCTTCTCAGGGGGCGACGGCCAGTGTGGCAGCATTCCCTTCCTGAGCCTGCATGGGGGATGTGCATTCCTGGCTTCTCTTCTTGGAGTCCGATTATAGAAAGCTTGTTTTATTGGAAGCTTGAGGGCAACATAAACTTGTCAACGCGCGCAAGCGCGTTCGCAAGCTCCGTGCAAGCACGGCCGGGGTTTGGCACAAGGGTTGAAATATGCGAATGCTATTATTCTCATGGTATTCTCTCTTATTCAACGTACTATTCAGATTATCCAATGACCACGGCATAATGTAGGGAGGCCACTGACATTGCGTCAACATAAAGGGTCTAGGGTTTGGGTTTAAGGGTTAAGGGTTTAGGGGTTATGCTGCTCAAGATTTCGCACCTATACTCCTATCCTATGGAATACGTGGTCCACGCCATGTATGCTTCTCAGCTTGTTTGTATGATGAGACTCCTCGAAGACCATTTTGCGCCAAACTGCTTGCGCGCGCAGGCACAAGCTCGCGCAAGCTCCGCAAGAACAGGCGCAAGGCCCCCAATTCGAGATGAAAGAATATTGGGCCCCCGTTTGAACTGTTATTCTGTGCAAATGAATGCCTATTTCCCCCCCCCCTTTCGCCACCGCGACTTGGCCCTCCGGTACAAAGTGTTGATGTTGATAGTGCATGTGCTGCAAAGTTTGTTAATGCAGTTGTGCTCCCCGTCACCAAAATCTGGTCCACGTTCTGTCTCCGTGCCGTGTGCTCTGTGGCATTCTGAAGCTGCGCTCTCGGAAGGGCCGTTTCCGGCTTCCGTGCTGAGTTTTCGTCAGCTTCTTCCCTCGAAACGCTCGATGTGCCCAAAGTCCTAGCAGGGCCTGGGTTTGGGGGCTTTCGCGGCACAGCTCAGACGTTGTAGGAAACCTTATCAGGTGATGGCCGGGATTGGCCACACAGAAGCCGTGGTTGCCCCAAGGGCAAACCCTTGAGCAGTGCACATGAGGGGTGAAAATTCCGCAGAGCTTCGCTTATGAGTTTTGTCTGCAATCAGCCAGCAGCTCCCGAAATCCCCCGAATGCCAAGAAGAGTTGCCCACACTCTTTGTGTGTCCTTGTTTAGATTGGCTCTTCCACATGTCCTCTACGCACAAAGCAGCTCTGAATCCAAGACTCCTAAAGCCGACGTATTGCCCCCACATCCCAAACAAACCGATCCCTCTCTAAACCCTACACTGTTACGCCCCCAGCATCCGTAACACTTATAGCCCTGACCCTTCGGCGAGTTGAAAGCGGGCCTCAAAGTCAGCTGCACGTTTGCCAGCCAAGGTCACACGTGTACCGGAATCATCAACATTTACAGTCCTGTAAATTAAATCACCCGAATACGCAGAGTATCCCGGCAGTTGAGCCACAAGGTAGATCTTAAAGTTTAAAAGGTTACCGGGAACATTTGCAGAGGTGCTGTGGGCCTTGACAGGTTTACGAGATCTAGGGCTTCCGGGCGCAGCTCCTTGCAAGGTTTATCCTACCCGTTCGAGGATGGGGTGGGGGTCAAGAGTGCACATTCTGTGCACAGCACCATGAGTTTCCCAGATGTCCGGTCGCATGTAGAAATGGCACGGCTGGACGACTCTTGGTTCACACCAAACCCAGACACGCCCCTACAGACGTGCAGAAGCCTTAGCCCCTAACCCTACAGCCAAAACACCCTCACAACCGTAGAGATCCCCAGCGCTAGAGATCCCTCGTAGGTAGACACCAATTCTTGCACCTTGCAGAACCCTACGACCTGGAGAAGCTTCGACCCCCAACCCGACCTGCACCCTTTCAGGGCCTGAGGGGCGTTGGGGTTGTCAGCTTTCGGAATTCTAAGCCTTTTTTAGAGCCCTGTTCACCTGTTCGAGTTCCAAACTTTTCAAAACCCCCGGACCCTCCTCAGAAGCCCCGGAAGAAGTGCGAAGCCGAAGCTCCCAAGTGCGCTGAAGGCCTCGGTGAGCCGGCTGAGGCTCCCATCCCCGGTGTGGCTCGCCTTGGCAGCGGGGGTTTAAGGTTTTTTTTTGGTGGGGGGGGGGGTTTTAGGGGGGGTTTTTGGGGGGGGGGGTTTTGGTTGTTTTTTTTTTTGGGGGGCGGGGGTGGGGGGGGGGGGGGTGGGGGGGGGGGGGGGGGGGGGGTGGGGGGGGGGGGGGGTGGGGTTACGGGGTTTAGGGTGTTTTGGGGTTTGGTAAGGGGTCTAGTGCTGAACTAGGCAGGGCCTCTGCACCTTGGATTGTGTTGAAGGGGATCTTGTTTTTGGAATATGTTTCAGAGGCTTTTAAGGGGAGGTATAAGCACCCCAACTGGAGGTTTAGGGTTTAGGAGGGTGGAGGCCTCTGTAGCTGAGCTCTGTTGGACGGCTTATGCTCTGGGGGGGGGGGGGTTTATGCGGGCTTTTTGTGGCAGGGGAGGTGTACAGAAGTGAACGGTGCGTTGTAAAAGGGCTGATCGTGTTTATGAGGCTAGGGGGTTTTGAGGTTGGAAGCATCGATGACGAAGGAGGGCTTCTGGCATCTGCCCGAAACCCAAACAAAATCTTTTCGGGCAGTGCTAGCTATCAGCTTTTGCAACCTCCAAATATGTTTTGTTTCGTCATGTATTCAACTTCGCATGAAGCCCTAAACCCGAATGTTAAAACCAAAATGCACCACATTGCCTGGGTTGAACCCAAGCGCAACTCAGGGATGGGGCACACCTGGGACGCTGCCGTAGCGTGCCGGCGCGCTGCGTGGGGAGGGGGGATTAGGGTTCAGGGTTTAGGGCGTTTTCATGCTTTCTCTCTTTTTTTGAGGGGGGGGGGGGGGGGGGTGTTTGGCTTTTTGGATCTGACGGGATTCTCACCGGGCGTAGAGGGTCACCTAGGGGGACTTTAGGGCCTCAGGGCTTGCAGGGGTTTAGGGTCCAGGGCACGCAGCTCTTGCTGAATCCTGACGATCCCACAGTTTCCTCGCCTGTGGGGTCTGCATGTGTTATGGTTATCAGCAATGAGGAGACCTACGCCTACACAGGGCAGTTATCCATGACATAGCCCCAGTCGCAACTGCCGGCCAGCAGGAGCCTTCCACGACGATTTTCTAGTGCATGAGGACAGCTGCCCAAATGCCCACTCTATTTCGTCAGGTTCTTAAAGCCTGTAAACCCGAACCCCAACATTCCTTAAGCCCTGCATCCGAACCCCCCTGAACCTAAGGCCCCAAGCCCTAAACCGTAAGCGACAAACCCAAAGCCCTAAAGCTTTAAACCTTTTCAACCCACTGCCCCAGGTTCTCCCGAAGTGAGGTGCCGGGTGCTGCCGTTGAACTGGGACCTGGGTCGTGTTCTACAGGGTTTAGGGAGTTTAGGGCTTCAGGGTTTTGGGGTTTTGGGGTTTTTTGGTTGTCTACAGTCTTGGGGGGGGGGGGGGGGGGGGGGGGGGGGTGGGGGTGGGGCGGTTGGGCGTAATTTGGGGCTAATGCTGTACGGGTTTTATGGTTCAGGGCTCTGGTTCGGACTGACTGTTTGAGGCTGCGGGATTGTCATGTTGAGAAGGTGAGCTCAGAGCCTGCCTTGAAACACGCGACAACAC